CAGATTCCAAGTGTCCCTTGGGATTGACCTTTTGTGATGTTCCTAATATGCGAGAGAAGAAAACCACCAGATTTAAGACAGACGTAACTCTCAGGTGTGCTAGTGATCTCAGTACATAATTGGGTGAGGAGTAAGTATCATAAGAAAACTATGTTTGAAATGTATCCAGCCTATTGCATGTAAATCTAGATTGATTCATTTTTGTTCTCTTCAGAGTAAGTTGTATTCTATGCATTTATACTCTGATTTTTTATCCACTCTCCTGCTTATGGACACTGGCTGTTCCCATTGTTGCTGTTAAAAAGATGTGAGAGCCGCTAGGCTGGTGTTGCTCAGTGGTTAAGTGTCGACCTATGAACCAGGAGGTCACAGTTTGATTCCTGGTCAGGGCACATGCCTGGGTTGTGGGCTCGATCCCCAGTGTGGGGTGTGCAGAAGGCAGCTGATCAAAGATTATCTCTCATCATTGATGTTTCTCTCTCCCCCTTCCTCTCCGAAATCAATAAAAACATATAAAAAGCTATTTTTTAAAAATATGGGCGCAGGTTCTCAGGGGAATGTCTGCAACTGAGGTTACTGGCCACAAAACGAGAAAATGTGACCTGTTATTATTAAGTTGAACGTAGGCATTATCATGCTACTCCAAGGAGGGTCTTGAAATTCAACTGTTCTCAGTGGAGGGGCTTGTCCTCAGCCAGGTCAGGGCTCCTCTCACATCACAGATGGAGTCGACAGGGAGATCTGGGCACATCTGGTATCACAATTGTCTGTTTTGGAGTCTGGATGTGTCCTTGTACTCCACACACTCAAACAGCCCAAAGCTACACCAGCTTCCCTTGTGTCACACTGAAAGGAGCCCTCTCACTAAGAGGCCCAGATGACTGGAATGTCGGCCTCCAGCATAGATGAGCTCTCTCCTAAAGGGGCCAGCTATGCCCGCCTTCCCTGCTAGGCATCATAAAACACATCTTAAAATGGCACCAGACTATGGCCCCACACAGTGGCAGGGTTCCCCTGGACAATACAATCCCACATCTGAAACCCCAGCCCAGAAGGAGCAGCCCGGCCTGAAACTCGGGGGCTGCCACACTCTACAGGTGGCAAAACTATGTGGCAACCCGTCAGCGACCTGGGGATCTAGGCACAGGGCTTTGGTTTCACAACGCCCACATGCAATACTCTGGTGAGATAAAATGCACAGCTGTACAACCTGCTGACCCCGCTTCACACTGGCTCATACGGCAAGAAGCAGGAGGACACTTACCAATAAAAAGGTGTTCCACAGATCTAAAAACTTAAACCTTCCAGATAATACTAAATTCCAATACGCAACAGCCATTTCTAAATCTGGCAAGAAGAGAGAAAGAGCAGTTAGTAAATCCCAATTTCTTCTTCTATTGCACAAAAACAATCACTTCTTAGCACACCGATATTCACTGAACAAAAGAGTAGTCTTACCCAAGAGTAATACAAGGCTTAATCCTTACAGAAGTGTTCTTTTTTAAAAAATATATTTTTATTGATATCAGAGAGGAAGAGAGAGGGAGAGAGAGATATAAACATCAATAATGAGAGTGAATCATCGATCGGTTGCCTCCTGCATGCCCCCTACTAGGGACTGAGCCCTCAACTCGGGCATCTGCCCCAACCGGGAATCGAACCTTGATCTCCTGGTTCATAGGTCAATGATCAACTACTGAGCCACGCCACCTGGGACAAAAATGTTCTTGAAATTACGGTCAATCTAATTTATAATCTAATTTTGTAACTCTAGGCAAATATCTTCAAAAAAGAATCTGCATTTTATGTTATTTGAACATGTAAATAATTACCCCCTAATTAATAATTTTTGGAGACTCGTTTTCCTATGCATCGGGCTTTCTTTAACCCTTTGAGTGCCAACCAATATCCTAGGAACTATGCTAAAATTGCCAAGGCATTTTTGCTGATTTTACAGCAGTTTAGGAAAAACATTATGAATCGCAAGTAAATGAAGTTACATATTCAAAAACTTAAGGAAACCTTTACTACATTTGTTTTCATCTTTGACATATATTGTTTGCTGATTGTATTATAAAATACTAGTAGAAAAAAAATTTTGAACAAAACATATAATGTTAAAATAGAGGGACACTCTTCTCCAATATCTTCCACAAAATCGTCGTCTTCACAGCAAGAATTGACATATTTAGTAATATCATCATCACTAATAAAAGCAGACTTAGAACTGGACACCATTTCGAAGCGTTAGGGCTACAAAATCTGAGTGAACTTCATAAAAACATAGTACCTGTAAAAAATTAGGCAGATAAATGCCAGTGGTCAATTTTAGAACTACAAACAGTCGGCATAAGTAATCTACACTTAGGTGCCATCTGTCAATAAAGAGTGAACTACTAGCAGTAGTGACACTACTGTGACACTGCAGGAGGAGAGCGATCGCGCTCCCCGGCACTAAAAGGGTTAAACCTGAGCTAACCTGGATACTATTAATGCATATGGTGTTTTTTAAGTAGGCCAATGTGCTTTCTAAGTGATGAACTACAAGTTAAACAACTTGTTCAGAAAGAAAGTGACAGTGTTTTTCAAACTGACTTGCCTTGCTACTGTAAAAATTAAAACAGAATCTGATTCCAAAGCAAATCATACAAGCTTCGTAAGGACTTTGAATTTCTCAAGACATAGTCAAGACAAATAAGCAGGTTTAGGGAAAAGCACTTTCACCGACGTAAGGAGAGTTAAAAATCTAGATGGCTAATAATCAAAGTCAATGTCCTCATTTACCCTCCACTGGAAGGTAGTGATTATTTCACCACATCTATACAATACTACGTTGTAGAGCTCAATCTTAAGATGGTATCTTGATGTAATATGAATGCTGGGTTTTAAGGCTGTGTTATATTATCCCTAATCCATAATTTTTAGAAGACTTGAGATTCATTCTCTGCTCACCAGAAGTTTAATAACTTTACTTTTTATATGCTTGACATAGAAAGTACATAAAGAGGCCAAGAAGTTTACTTCTTAAAAATTGATAACCTTTAATCATGTTGAATAGTGCTCACCACTTTTAGATAGTAAAAGAACAATTATAATGAAATAATTTCCTAATTATATATTTACATTTGTATGTCAGATAAAACTAATGTGAAGAGCAGGTGAATCAATATTTAAGGTAACATTTTAAATGCAAAATACTAAAAAGATTTTCACTTAAATCTTGTTTGGTCCCACTTGGACAAAAATGATTAAAGTTCCAGCTCTAACCTGAGATTTCCAGGATAGCTCATTATTAAAAAGAGATGTATGAACAGCAATCAACCTGAAATAACATGCCCATGTTTCCTATGTGTTTGGAGTCCATGATAGACTTTCTCAGTCTTAAGTACCCTGGAGTCTTAATCAGAAAGAAATAAATGGTCAGAAAATGTCAAGGAACCAATAGCATGGAAAGGCTCACTGAACCTTACCTATGGGGCCCGCAGTATAATGCTAAGATGGTTAGTCTTGTCCAGCTAAGTCTACATCCTTATCACTTAGGAAGAACGTTAATTGAAATCTATACTCAACTCATCTTAATGATGAAAAGTCTCACACTGAGAAATGGAGGTAAACCTGGGAAGGAAAGAAAAATAATTTTATGGCAGACATTTAATCTGGTTACTTCTGGATTAGTTTGGTCCTAGAAATCTTTTATAAAGTTCCTGATTTGTATGATTGTAAACCACACAACCAAAAGTAAACGTATGCATTTTCAATATTTACCAGTAGTATTGCCTATGTAAAAATGTTTAATATTATCCTAATGAACTTAGCTTTTAGGAAGATAACAACAAAACTCAAAATGATAAAACTCAAGAGCTGAAATCAAGAACAACAGCTACTCCAGTGGCTATAAAAATAATTTTTATAGTAGCTAGATTCTTTCCAATAACCTCTGAAAAGTCTCATCTTTTGAGTAGAAAATGTTTAGATGAAGGTTTTACTATTTTAAATCTATGTTTGTGATGCTCCATTTAGAATTAGATAATAAAAATGACCCTTCTCTCAAAAAAAAGATCTTTGAGCAGATATAAAAATTAGCTAATCATGGGACTATTCCTTAAAAAAAAAATCAAGATTTCTCAAAGACAAATAATTCCAGACTCTAGACAGTATGAAACTATGCTAAGCTTCTTACATTAAAACTAAGAGTCAATAATAATAATCTTCTTGACTATGTTATCAGTTAAGTACATGCTAAAGAATAATCATACATAAAACAATACAGTACTCATAATCTTAACACATACATATAAACAGACACACAAACATGAAGGAAATGAAGGATAAATCACTTTTTATTACTCTTTTCCACTGATGTCCATGCTTTTTCTAAGAACTACAGGAACACCTGTATCAATCTCTTTAATTTATACTGAATCTGTTAGGAAGCAGACCTTATAATATACTTTGGAAATCATAAAATAAATTGTTCTGTTTAGGGTGTGTAGTCATAAAATTATTTGTCTTGCTTTATTTCTTTTTTTTTTAAATATATTTTATTGATTTTTTACAGAGAGGAAGGGAGAGAGATAGAGAGTTAGAAACATCGATGAGAGAGAAACATCGATCAGCTGCCTCCTGCACAACTCCTACTGGGGATGTGCCCGCAACCCAGGTACATGCCCTTGACCGGAATCAAACCTGGGACCTTTCAGTCCGCAGGCCGATGCTCTATCCACTGAGCCAAACCGGTTTCGGCTGCTTTATTTCTTTTTTAAAAAATCCTTCAAAGCCTTCTAAAATAGAGAATGTAATATATTTGAAATGTTCAAATAATTTAATCATTTCCTGAAGAGGCTATTCTTTTCTTTAACACAATTTCATATTCTCTCTCTTTTTTTTTTTTTAAATCCTCACCAGAGGACATTTTTCCATTGATTTTTAGAGAGAGTGGGAGAGGGAAAGACAGAGAGAAATACTGATGTGAAAGAAACACATTGATTGGTTGCCTCCTGCACATGCCCTGACCAGGGCCCAGGCTGGGGAGGAGCCTGCAACGGAGGTACGTGCCCTTGACTGGAATTGAACCCAGGACCCTTTGGTCCACAGGCCATTGCTTTATCCTCTGAGCCAAAACGGCTAGGGCAGTGGTTCTCAACCTTCCTAATGCCGCGGCCCTTTAATACAGTTCCTCATGTTGTCGTGACCCCCAACCATAAAATTATTTTTGTTGCTACTTCATAACTGTAATTTTGCTACTGTTATGAATCGTAATGTAAATATCTGATATGCAGGATGTATTTTCATTGTTACAAACTAAACATAATTAAAGCATAGTGATTAATCACAAAAACAATATGTAAGTATATATGTGTTTTCCGATGGTCTTAGGCGACCCCTGTGAAAGGATAGTTCGACCCCCAAAGGGGTCGCGACCCACAGGTTGAGAACCGCTGGGCTAGGGCCATATTCTCTTAATTAGCCTCATAAAGCAAAGAAACAAAACCAGTAACTGTTCTAATTCTCTAGTGAATTATTATTTTTTAAATCCTCACCCGGGAGGAAGGCTATGTTTCCCATTGATTTTTAGAGAGTGGAGGAGGGGGAAGAAGGTGAAAGGGGAGGAGGAGGGGGAGGAGGAGGGGGAGGAGGAGGGGGAGGAGAGGAGAGGAGAGAGGGAGAGAAACATCAAAGTGAGAGAGACACATCAATTGGTTGCCTCCCACACTGGCCCGACCAGGGGTGGGGATCAAAACTGCAAATCAGGTATGTGCCCTTGACTGGGAATCGAACCCTTGACCCTCCAGTGTGCAGGCCAATGCTTTAACCACTGACCAACACTGGCCAGGGCACTAGTGAATGATTTTGATAAACATTTTATTGAAGTGCTTATAGGTATAAAATAAATTTAAAAATAATTATTTTTTCTTAGTAAAGGAATTATAGGATAAATTATAAATATTACCTTTTTTTGCTTCCTGATGTTAAGGAAAATATACTTTATAAAAATAGAGGCTAACATATTAGGCTCTGTATTGTAAAAATATTTCAAAACACCCTTTACCTTAATACTGAATTTCTTTGAAATATTCATGGAGAAAGAAAATAAACTTTTAAACTTTAAATCAGGAAATTAATTTAGACTCTAATTTACAACCTCTCAGAAATCACTATGGAATTCAGAATGTATACAGAACGTGGTAACTACTAATGGAACTGATAACATAGGATTTCCAGGGCTGGGCCTTAAGAGATGTGATCTGCTTCAGTGGCAGCCACCCAATCCTTGCTGCAGTGGAAATGACAGCTAAGGTACACTTCCTCTAGGCATTTATAAGATTCCTGGAAAAAAAATAAACTTTAAGGGTGAAAAGAATGGAGCTACAATCTATAAGAATAAAAGTGTAATGTGCTAATTAAACTGGACGTCCTTCCAGATGAAGCCGGGGCTGCGAGGGAAGCCCGGGTCCCGGGTGCCTGCCGGCGGCCGGAGGGAAACCCAGGTCCTGGGTGCCAGAGGGAAGCCAGTGCCGGCAGCTGGGGGAAGGCCTACTTTTGCACGAATTTCATGCATCGGGCCTCTAGTAGAGCAAATAAAAGAATAAAGCTGAGGTTGGAAGTGTCATCAGCTGGCTAGGCCTATGAGTGCAGAGTGACTTTTAGATGGGGGAGAAGCAGGGAAGTCAGGAATTGAACTTGGCACCTGGTCTCCTAATTATTCTGTCACCAAGAGAGCACAGCTCATAGGCTGATGTCTTCCTAACCGCACCACATACAAAACAAGATGAGGCTTTTAACAACTGACCGTTATAGCTACCCTGACCAAAGTCACACCATCTCCTAACTAGACTGACACTCAAGCCTTGTAATCTGGCCTGACCACCAGGTGACACATCCTCAGTCAGGACTGCTGCACACTCACCAGGTGACACAAACACAGTCAGGACTGCAGCTCGCACACCAGGTGACATGTCCTCAGTCAGGACTGCAGCTCGCAAACCAGGTGACATGTCCTCAGTCAGGACTGCAGCTCACACACCAGGTGACATGTCCTCAGTCAGGACTGCAGCTCGCACACCAGGTGACATGTCCTCAGTCAGCACACACTACAGCAGCTTTCTGAGAGCAAGAAACCTTCTCCTGTCCACACACAGGAGGAAATGAGCAGCACATCATTTCTAAATGGCTCCAGCCCTGGTATAAGCAGATGGGGCAACACTGCATGAGGAAATCACTGTGCTCTTTGGCAATGTCTGTGGCTTTTAAAAGTTGAGGTGAAGTCATTTATGCTAAAACAGAACTGTGGACATTTTAGGAGATTCAGAACTGTAATATGCTCATACAATATACATGCATAGTATAAAACAAGTAAATTGAACCCAAATAATATCAAATGCAAGATGCAGGTAGAATGGGAAATGCCTTGGCACAGAGGGTGGCTACAGTGGAGACCTGGAGTGTTTGGGGAATGCGAGGAGACTGGTGGGAAAAAGCCCCAGAAGGCAGGCAGTACCCGGGCATGACCAGAGGGGATGCACGGGCCAAGAGGGGATGCACGGGCCAAGACAGACCTGACCCTACTTTGATCATCCAACTTTTTCCTGTCGGGGCCCATGACAGTGAGACGTGAGGCGGGATGCCGTGCTGCTGCTCTCCTGTACCGCAGACTCCCTAAGCGCCCCAACCTGGTTCTCTGGCTGTCAGCCCACATCAGGCAGCCCATCAGGCAGGTGTGAACACACAAGAGGTGACGGTGGGTTCCAAACCCTCCGTCACAGCCTGTGTTCATCTCTCCAGCATGTCCTTCCACCTCAACCTGTTTCCCTGTTTATAAAGTGGGAGTGAGGCTTGTGTGAATCAGATAAAGGCACTTGACTGCCACATCGTATGGGCTTCATAAATGCCAGTTTCCACCTTTCTTCCCAGTAACAGGTAAAAGGTAAAAGCTGCCACTTACAGACAAAAGCCACACGGACTGTCGTGGTCAGTCTTGGATTTGGGAGATCCGTTCTCCCATTTCCACCTTCTGAAGTTGTAAGCAGACACAGAGGGAGACAGCGTGTCCAGGGCTGAGGCGGCTGGGGCGACGTGCTATTACTCCATGCCAACGCCAGTCCTCGCTGCTGAGTAGCACTGCAGGAATTATTCCTTTTTCAAGTATACCAAGTGTTTTAATTGTCCCAAGAGCACAAGACCGTGCTCCCCTCTGCACTAACACAACTGAAGCATTGAAAGGGCCCTGCCACCAATGCCTCAGAGTCTTGCTTCTTTACAGTCCTTCTGGAAGCGTCAGGAAAGCTCTTCTCCAGGTGACACCCGGCGAGCCACAGAGAGCGCAGGGGCCAAGTCAGGGCTCGAGCCGGCAGTGGCCCCTCGGGCCCTTAGCTCAGGCAGCTGACCACATGTCGGTCTCTGTGAGGGGCGAGGACAGACAAAACCCAGCTTCTGCTGCTCCTCATGGCTGATGCTCAACCGTCAACCTGGTGCTGCCGTGGACTCTCCTTTCCATTCAGTCTGTGCACTTGGTTATGAAACCAGACCCTTCACTGATGTCAGGCCAAACTGGAAATCGACAATATTCTTCCCAAACAAATGTGTCAGAACCATCTCTTCCTGTGAGGTCCCACGTG